GCTTGATGGGGATAGCGTTGAATCTGTAAATTACTTTGGGCAGGATGTCCATTTTCACGATATTGATTTTTCCTAACCATGAACATGGAATGTTTCTCCATCTGTTTGTGTCCTCTCTTATTTCATTGAGCAGTGGTTTGTAGTTCCTTGTTAGTTGTATTTCCTTGTTAGTTGTATTGTAGTTCCTTTACGTTCCTTGTTAGTTGTATTCCTAGGTATTTTATTATCTTGCTAGCAATTGTGAATGGCAGTTTGTTCTTGATTTGGCTCTCTTTAAGGCTGTTGTTGGTGTATAGGAATACTTGTGATGTTTGCACATTGATTTTGTATCCTGAGACTTTGCTGAATTTGTGCATCAGTTTCAGGAGATTTTGGGCTCAGACAATGGGGTCTTCTAGATATACAATCATGTCGTCTGCAAATAGAGACAATTTGACTTCCTCCTTTCCTGTTTGGATACCATTTATTTCTTTTTCTTGCCTGATTGCTATGGCTAGAACTTCCAATAATATATTGAATAGGAGTGGTGAGAGAGGGCATCCTTGTCTAGTGCCAGGTTTCAAAGGGAATGCTTCCAGTTTTTTGCTCATTTCAGTAGGATATTGGCTGTTGGTTTGTCATAAATAGCTTTTATTATTTTGAGATATGTTCTATCAATGCCTACCTTATTGAGGGTTTTTAGCATAAAGAGCTGTTAAATTTTGTCAAAGGCCTTCTCTGCATCAATTGAGATAATCATGTGGTTTTTGTCTTTGGTTTTGTTTATGTGGTGAATTACATTTATAGACTTGTGTATGTTGAACCAGCCTTGCATCCCTGGGATGAAGCCTACTTGAACATGGTGGATAAGCTTTTTGATGTGCTGTTGCAGTTGGCTTGCTTGGTAAATCTTCTTCCATTCCTTTACTTTGAGCCTTTATGTATCCTTGCATGTAAGATGGGTTTCCTGGATACAGCATACTGATGGGTTTTGGCTTTTTATCCAATTTCCCAGTCTGTGTTTTTTGATTGGGGCATTTAGTCCATTTACATTTAGGGTTAACATTGTTATGTGTGAATTTGATCCTGCCATTTTGATGCTAGCTGGCTGTTTTGCCTGTTAGTTGATGCAGTTTCTTCATTGTGTTGATGCTCTTTACCATTTGGTATGTTTTTGGAGTGGCTTGTACTGGTTGTTCTTTTCTATGTTTAGTGCCTCTTTCAGGAGCTCTTGTAAAGCAGGCCTGATGGTGATGAAATCTCTGAGTAATTTCTTGTTCGTAAAGGATTTTATTTTTCCTTCACTTATGAAGCTGAGTTCGGCTGGATATGAAATTCTGGGTTGATTTTTCTTTTCTTTAAGGATGTTGAATATTGGCCCCCATTCTCTTCTGGCTTGTAGGGTTTCTGCTGAGAGATCTGCTGTGAGTCTGATGGGCTTCCCTTTGTGGGTAACCCGACCTTTCTCTCTGGCTGCCCTTAGCATTTTCTCCTTCATTTCAACCCTGGTGAATCTGACGATTATGTGCCTTGGGGTTGCTCTTCTTGAAGAATATCTTTGTGGTGTTCTCTATATTTCTTGTACTTGAATATTGGCCTGCCTTGCTAGGTTGGGGAAGTTTTCCTGGATAATATCCTGAAGAGTATTTTCCAGCTTGGATTCATTCTCTCTGTCACATTCAGGTACACCTATGAAACGTAGATTAGGTCTTTTCACATAATCCCATATTTCTTGGAGACTTTGTTCATTCCTTTTTGCCCTTTCTTCTCTAATCTTGCCTTCTTGTTTTATTTCATTGAGCTGATCTTTGACCTCTGATATCCTTTCTTGTGCTTGGTCAATTCGGCTGTTGAAACTTTTGTATGCTTTGCGAAGTTCTCGTATTGTGTTTTTCAGCTCCATCAATTCACTTATATTCCTCTCTAAGTTGTTTATTCTTGTTAGCATTTTATCAAATATTTTTTCAAGGTTCTTTGTTTCTTTGCATTGGTTTAGAACAAGTTCTTTTAGCTCACGAAAGTTTCTTATTACCCACCTTCTGAAGCCTGAGGCTGTCAATTCATCACACTCATTCTCCATCCAGTCTTGTTCCCTTGCTGGTGAGGAGTTGTGATCCCTTGCAGGAAGAGAGGCATTCTGGTTTCAGGTGTTTTCATCCTTTTTGCACTGGTTTCTTCCCATCTTTGTGAATTTATCCACCTGTCATCTTTGTAGTTGTTGACTTTCAGATTGGGTCTCTGAGTGGACATCCAGTTTGTTGATGATGAAGTTATTTCTTTCTGTTTCTTAGTTTTCCTTCTAACAGTCAGGCCCCTCTGCTGTAGGACTGCTGAGGTCCACTCCAGGCCCTGCTTGCCTGGGATCACCTGCAGTGGCTGCAGAACACTAAGGGTTACTGCAAGTTTCTTCTTCTGCTATCTTTGTCCCAGAAGGATACCTGTCAGATGTCAGTCTGAGCTCTCCTTTCTGGGGTGACTCTTTGGATATACGGGGATCAGGGAGCTTCTTGAGGAGACAGTCTGTCCTTTATAGGAGCTCATGTGCTGAGCTGTGAGCGCCATTGTTCATTCAGAGCTTCTGGGCAGTTAGTTTACGTCTGCTGCAGCAGAACTCATAAATGCCTTTTTTCCCCCCAGGTGCTCTGTCCCAAGGATTTAGGGCTTTATTTATAAGTTTTTGTCATGCTGCTGCCTTTTTTCAGGGCTGTCCTGCCCAGCAAGGAGGCAGCCTAGTCACAATCTGCCTGCAGAGGCTTTGCTGAGCTGCTGTGGGCTCCACCCAGCTGCAGTGTGAACTTCCCTGCAGTCCTGTTTATACGGGTATAGTTAGAACTGCCTCAGCAATGGCGGCCCACCTTTGTAATGGCGGACTCTCTTTGTAATGGCGGACTGCCTCAGCAATGGTGGGCTGCCTCAGCAATGGTGGACTACCTCCGTAGTGGTGGTGTGCCTTGGTAATGGTGGACACCCCTCCCCCACAGAGCTGGACAGTCCTGGGTTCAGCTGTGCTTGCTGTGAAACTCTCAATCCAGAGCATTTCAGATTGCTGTTTTTTTGTGGGGGTGGGACCAGCCGAGCCTGATCACCTGGCTCCCTGCCTCAGACCCCCCTTTTTTTTTCAGTTGAACAAGCGATTCTGTCTCCCAGGTGTTCCAGTTGCCTGTTGAAAAGGCACTGGGATCTGTGTGATTTCCCATGCGGCGACCCACTGCACTGGCTGAAACAGCTGCGCTGAGATTCATGGTGCTTTTTTGCCTGAGAATCTCTTGGCCTGGCTCCTTGTTTCAGTCCCCTTTTTTATCCGTTGAATTGGCAACTCTGTCTCCCAGGAGCTCCATTTACCAGTTAAAATGGCGCCTGGACCCGTGCATTTTGTGTGGAGACCCGCCGCACCTGCCAAAAAAGCTGTGCTCGTGACCCATGGGGCTCCTCCGCCTGGGAATATCCTTGTCTGTGGGCAATAAAAATCCATGTGGAAATGTGGCATCCACTCGCCCTCTGTGCTTTCGCTGGGAGCTGCAATCCTGAGCTGCTCCTAATTGGCCATCTTGGATCCATCTCAACTTAAAATTTTTTTAACATCACGATAGGTTTATCAGAATGTCGCCCCATATTATGTTGTGGAGTACATATATGTGTATATTAGTTCTGTTTTTCTGGAGAACCCTAACAAGTACAGACTGAGAGAGGGGCGTTGTCAAGGTCTAGAAGCCAAGACAAACAAATTGATGCAGTGAGTATAGAAATTGAAGGCATAGCTGTTGTATGCAGCTTGGCCTGTGTTAGAATCTGTCATTTAATATAACTCTTACTTTCCTCTTTTGTAAAATGGGAAATGTAATAGTGCCTGAACCAAAGGGTAATTGTAAACCTTAAGTAGAATCAATATGTGCGTTTGCTTGGCATGTTGCCTGACTCTTGGCAAGTGCTTGATGAACGATCAATATTATTAATCCTATTGTTGTTATTATTACTAAGTATTCTTAAGAAGAAGAGTCATGGGCTCTCAGAGAACCTTTACTTTATCTCCTATTTAATTGAAAGTGCTAAGAACGTTCATCTTCCATCTCTTGTTGTAGGTGAAGTCCTCATAGTACTCAGCTCTCTCCATCTCCTGGACCATAGATCTGCTGTCCCAGAAGCCCCAGAAATTGAGGTGCTGGTTGTTCTTTCAATAGCACCACCTATCCAGTCTCTCTCCATGGATTCCCCAACTCACAACCTGTAGGAAACGTACACTTACCTCATCCCTGCCTTTCTTTGTTTCCCCCAAAGACTATTGTCAGGATCTTGGTTTTAAAATTATTTTATTATTTGATTCTAGGAAGAGTAAATAGCATCAAAAACACGAGCTATGGGTAGCTGATAACTTTGAAAGTGCTTGCGTTGTTCTCACAGTTGTGATCTGAGGTCTGTAGATGCCACACAGAGGTGAAACAATATGGTGTTTATAATGTGTCTGGGTTAGTGCCTGGCACATGGCAAATGCTTAATAAATGGTGGTTCCTTTCTGATCCTGACAGTCCCAAGGTTTGGGATGACTTGGGGGTGATTCTAATGTCCCAACCTTACACACAAGTCTTGTCTATCTATGGGAGTATTTATAAGTTTCCCTCCTTTCTTCCCTCACTCCCATTCTTCCTGTTTTCTATTATTTTTCTTTATCAGTTTCTCTTACTACTTTTGTTTTTTTCAAATTTTTTCCTCTTCTTTTCTCCTTATCTCCCTCTTTCTTACGTTCTTTTATTCTTTTATTTATTATGTTCTTTTATTCTTTTATTTCTTTCTTATGTTCCTTTATTCTTCTTTCTTTGTCTCTTTCTTCCTTTCTTCTCTTTATTTTTCTGATTCTCCCTCCAGTACTTTCTTCTGTCTTTTCTCCCCCACCCCCCACCGTCATCTCATCTTTCCTTTATTCCTTCTTCCTTTGCTTCCTCTCTCCTACCCTCCATACATTATTTCTGTTTTCAATTGCTTTCCCTTGCCCTTTTAATATTTCCCTGGCTTATTTTTCTTTCCTCTTTTTCTGTTACACTCTCCTTTTCACTCTCTTTCATTCCTTTTCTTTCTTCTTTCAGCAACTAACATGGTAATGTTTTGTGCTAATAACCAAGGAAAGACAAAAATTACATTCATGTTCTTTCATAAAGAATCTCATATCATCACAGGAAGGCCAAGGGCCCAAAGGGAAAAGAAAGAAAAAGAATAGGGGAATCCAAATGAGAGCCTTGTAGACATCTCACTGGGCACGGGCTTGTCCAGACTTCTTCCACTCCTTGTCTCGAAGCTTGGCTCGTTGAATTTTCCCTGTGACACTCTTGGGCAGGTTCAAGACAAATTCTATCTGTTGAAAGAAAATCGGTCCACGGTGGGTCATCTGTGACCATCTGGGCTACATAAGGATCTAAGGGACTCTAAGCTCAGAATGGTTGCTCTCACCTTCTACTCTAGACTTAATTTTTTCCTTTCCCTGGGACAAGCTCCTATCTGGGACTCCAATTCAATAACTGAGTTCTCCTGCCATGTCAACCTCCATGCCTCAGTTCTCTGCCCCAGAATGAAAACAGCTGAAAACTATGCTTTTGTCTTTTCTCGTAAGAACACTTTCTTTTTCCTATGGGGAGCCACCCTCTCTCCCAGTCCATGTCATGGGGTAGGGCAGTTCTTTCTCCCCCATCCTCCCTGCACTTTCTCTGAGGATGGCATGGAACTGACCAATCAGTGTGGCATTGCCCTGACTACAAGGATTCATTTAATAATGGGCATATGGCCTAAGTTGGTCCAGTGAGAGTCAACCCAGAGATTTTTGTTGAGGCCTTTGGAAAAACATGTTCATTTTCTACTGGAGTTTTCTAAGCTGCTAAGAATATATGTTTGGAGCTGATGGGGCCACAAAGAAAAAGCATTTCAGTAAATCGAGCCACTACAAAGGAAGGAGAGTCAAAGGGCCAAAGAGATAGATACACCTGACCACATCTTAGGAATGCCTGCAACCAGCCATAATGAAAGCTTTCCCCACCTGCAGACTTTTCAACTGTGTGAGCAATAAATCTCAAGCTAGATTTCTGTCACCTGCAACTGAGTATTGCATAACCCTGAATGCTATAGCAAGAACCCAGTGCAGAGAATGGGAATACAGGCAAGATATTGGCTAGAATTTATTCCCTTGAAAGCATTTGGTGTTTAATTCAGGAATGGGAATACAGGCAAGATATTGGCTAGAATTTATTCCCTTGAAAGCATTTGGTGTTTAATTCAGAGTGAGTCAGAAACTCAGGTCATTTTTCAGGCATCAAGATGGTTGCTAGATTGTCTTTTGGGGCTTTCTTGATCATAGTCAAGAAGACTTTTTTTTTTTTTTGAAACACTGAGTCTTACTCTCTTACCCAGGCTGGAGTGCAGTGGCATGATCTCGGCTCACTGTAACCTCCACCTCCAGGGTTCAGGCAATTCTTGTGCATCAGCCTCCTGAGTAGCTGGGATTACAGGCATGCACGACTATGCCTGGCTAATTTTTGTATTTTTAGTAGAGACGGGGTTTCATCATATTGGCCAGGCTGGTTCAGAACCTGACCCCAGTTGATCCACACCTTGGCCTCTCAAAGTGATGGGATTACAGGTGTGAGCCACTGTGTCTGACCTAAGAAGATTCTTTTTTCTTTTCTTTTTTTTGAGACAGAGTCTCTTTTTTTTTTTTTTTTTTTTGAGACAGAGTTCACTCTGTCACCCAGCTTGGAGTACAGTGGCACGATCTCAGCTCACTATAACCTCCGCCTCCAGGAAGACTTTTTAAAATTAGAGGGCTGTCCTCCTCCTGAGGAAGATAACTATAACAGGAAAACAGTCTTTTTCTCAAGTTTGAGTGTCTTGGGAGCTCAAAGACCTTACCTTTCTTGGGTACTTGTATGGGGCTGTCACTGACTTCACATGCTGCTGCAGCTCCTTGGTGAGCTGCTCTGGGTCATGGGACAGGAACTGTGAGGCCAGGACCACAAATGCCTTCACCACCTGCAAAAAAGGTGAGGGCCAAGAGAGAAGGGATTAGAGTATGTAGTCATCTCCTGGAATAATGTAAAATTGGCTTTAAGATTTCCATTCCCCCTTGTATCTCCTTATTTGCCTCTCCAGTGATCCAGGTCAAGGGAAAGGGAGAAACTGGGGACAAGAATGAGGTTCCAGCTCTTTGTGAACTCATTTATCAGATGAGCAGGTGGACAATAGATTGAGACCAGGCTCGCTTCATACTCCAAGGATAATAGAGGCAGATGGGGAGAAAGAAGATAGAGGGAGAGAAAAGAGAAAAATAGACTAAATACCATAACCTTAAACAATGTGTTTAACTTCTCCAAACTTCAGTGTACCCATCTGTAAAATGGATAAAACTGCCATATTTAACTTATGGTAAGTAAAATGAAATCATATACAGGAGGGCTAGCTCAGAGCTGGGCACACAGGGTTTTCTCATTAGAGAATCCCCTTTTGGCCTTACTGCTCATGGGTCCCATGATTTTCTGTGTGATGTGTTCTATGCCTACTGGAGGTATGATAGTACCCGGCTTACACCCTGCAGAAAGGTACTAGGACGCTGATACACACATCCCACCTTAATCTTCCTACACACACATCAAAGTCCCTTAGACCCCATCTAGCCTAATCCTATAACCCTGGCTTTATAGGGGTCTTTCTTTTTCCCTTTTTTTTTTTTTCCACTGTGAACCCTGTGGCACAGGAGCTCTATCTTTTGGCTCAAATCCCTCCTCTGTTCCTCTGGTAAAGAATCAAACTCTGAATCAAATACCAAACAGCAGGATAGAATCCTTCCAGCCTCATTTTAGGGTCTATTTTGTTGAGGGTACTAGGACTTGTTCCAAGCACTTTACTTTCTAAAAACTTTTATTGACTCATAATATTTGTATATATGTATTGGGTACAAGTGATATTTTGTTACATGCAAATATTGTAATTATCAAGTTAGGATACTTGAGGTGTTCATCACATTGAGTATTTGTATATGTGTTTGTATTTGTAATTTATGTTTGCATGTGTTGGGAACATTTCAAGTCCTCTCTTATAGATATTTTGAAATATACAATACATGGTTGTTAACTATGTCACCCTATTCTGTTATTGAACATTCAAACTTATTGCTTCTATTTAACTGTATGTTTATACCCATTCACCTACCTCTCTTCATCCCCCTCTTTCCCACCCACCCTCTGTTTCCAGCCTCTGGTATCTATCCCTCTACTCTTTATCTCCATGAGATCAACTTTTTTAGCTCTCACTTATGAGTGAGAACATGTAATGATTATCTTTCTGTGCCTGGCTTATTTCACTTAATGAAATTAATGACCTCTACTTCTCTCCATGTTGCTGCAGATGACATGATTTCATTTTTTTTAATACCAGATAGTATTCCATTGTGTATATATACCACATATTATTTATCCATTCATCCATTGAATACTTAGGTTGATTCTATATCTTTATATTGTGAATAGTGCTGCAATTAACATGGGAGTGTAGGCATCTTTTCGATATGCTGATTTATTTTCCTTTGGATAGATAACCCAGTAGTGGGATTGCTGGATTGTATGGTAGTTCTGTTTAGTTTTCTGAGAAATCACCATAATTAAGTAATTTACAAATATTAGCACATTTAACCATCATAATAATCTCTCATCTTACAGATGGGGAAACTGACAAACAGAGAGGCCAAGTAGCTTGGCCAAGGTCACATAGCTAGTAAGTGGCAGGACCAAGATTGGGATTCAGAGTATTCAGCCCCACAGCCCCTGTTCTTAAACCATCATACTACACTGCCCTTGTGTTCATATTTGTTCACCCCAAGACTAATGCTTCCCCATCACCTGTCCTCGGATGGGATCTGGGCTGCTGATCACAGCTGCCTCAACCACGGCAGGGTGCTCCATCAGCGCATTCTCTACCTCCGAAGGCCCAATCCGGTACCTGCAGAAGAACCTGTCTTTTACAGAAGACTGGACATCCAACCTCTAGGCCATCTCAGAAATCTGGAACAAGCCAGAGTAAAGACCCAGATTTCCCTTCCCAACCCAGAAACCAAGCTCACCCGCTGGAGTTAATGATATCATCTGCCCGCCCCAAAAACTGGAAATATCCATCTTCATCTTTGATTCCCTGGTCTCCAAGGAGCCAAAAGTCCCCTCGAATGTTGGCTGCTGTCTTCTCAGGATTGTCCTGGTGACCACAGAAAGACAGAGTCATTGTGCCTGCAAAGCCTAAATCCCCTGCCCTGGGGCTGCCACGAACAGATATCATAAATATTAACACCGTATGTGTGCAGTGCATAACTTGAACATGGCAGACGTGCCCTGAACCAGCCAACCCTGGGCCACAGGTAGAACTGGATCTTTCCCGTTTATTGACATTATTTCACTCAGGGCCTCTCAGCTACTCCTTTAAGTCCAGTCTGATGGATATTATTGATGTATTTGTTCATCTATGCTTAGGGCATTTTCCCCAACAGATTCCATCTCCCCTTTCATAGATATCCTAATCTCTGCTCACTCCATAGCACCACTCAAAGCTATCATTTTGATTAAGTACTTTTCTTGGCTTCTTTGTTAAATCGGAAAGTTCTGGAGATGTTAGCCGGGAAGTGTCCAGGGACCCTGGCTAGTGTGCATATTTCTACAATGGCTGGGTCCCTCTATTCAGTGAAGGCACTTGCTTATAAGTAATGAAAATGCTTGAGCTTTATCCCTTGTCAGTGTATCTTCCTATCTGACTCAGCTATAGGGGCATGGGCTCCAGACTGGAAGTTCAGTTACTGTATTATGTGGTGTCATAAAGAATTCTTAGGCAGATCAAAACTCAGATTTACTCTGCTACCTTACTAGCTGACTTTGAACTACTCCATCATTGGGAATAGAGGGACACTGATGATTAGAGACACCAAGAGGCTCGTCTGAAGCTAAACAGCCATTAGAGAAGGTAGAATTCTTGGCCACTGGCTTGACTTTCTCATGGCCATCATGCAGCCTCTGTGGCCTTAGGAGTCTGCCAAACAGATGCCTCTGAATCTATTTCCTTTTCTGTCCAATGGGGATAAGCCCATGACTTAGTACCTCACTGGTATTGGAAGTGGAGTGGGACTGCACACAGGAAATGCTTGGAGAAGGGCACAGTGTGGCCCTGCCCTGTTCTCTGAGGCTCAGTTTTTCTCATCTGTATAATGCAGATATTCAGATCTACAACAATTCTTTTACTTAACATACTCATGACACACAACTTACAGATGAAGAAACAGAGACATGAGAGATCAGTAACTTGCCCAGGGTCTGGTTCAAAACCAGAGCAGGGTTTTGAACTTGAGCAAGCTGAGTCCAGAGTTTTATAGGGCGGCTGGGAGGAGTAAACGAGTTTAAAATTTTAATGAGTTTAAAGTTTAAAGAGTAAATGTGTTTATAGGACAATGCTTGCCTTGTGGTATGCATTCAATAAATGTTAGAAAGTACTATTATTTGATTTACTATTTGTTTAGTTGATATCTCAGGGGTCAGAAGGCATGCCCTTGGGGTCTTCTCTGCCCACTTTCCAGTTGTTGTGAGCTTGAGCAAGACTTGTAATCTCTGGCTCCATCATCCTCACCTGTCAAATGAGGTGGCCAGACTCAAGGATTATCTGTCTTTACCTTCCCAAGATCTGAAGAGAGGGATTCTTCTAACTAGGTGGTGAAGTTTCAGTGTAAAGTTCCTGGCATGGCTCTAAATAAGATCAATAGCATGGAGCATGGGGATAATACCTAAGGAAGAGGGCAAGGCTGCCCTTGGGGGAATGATGCTGTGTGTAGTTCAGGGTCAGTAATATTTTCAGGATGAAACAAAGAGTTCTTAAGGAGTCTAAAGGCTAAATGAAGAAAAATAAGTCTTCCAATGAGATCACATTGATAGGCTGAGGATGGCAAGGCTGAATAGCCAGTCTTTTCTTCCACTAGCAAAGCATACATTCTTGAAAACTGGACACTCTTTTGTCTCTCCACATCTAATGCCTCTTGGGAGTTTTAGAGCATTTGGCCTCCCTCATCCCATTGAGCACTCCCTATCCTCACTGGGGAAGAGGAAGAGGAACACAGGTTTCTCACCACATAGCCAGAGAATATGCCTATAGGTTTGATGGGTTTGACCCTGATGCCAATGTCTCCTTCTTCGCCAGGGGGCAGTACATTGCCCTTATCATCTATGACCTGGAGAAAGAAGCAAATTGGAAGAATGATCCACAGAGCAGGAGAGGGCTTCAATGGCAGCATGAGTTTGCTGCGTTGGTCAAATGAAAGACCCTCTTGCTCTACTGGAGACGGAAAACAACAATCAGAAACCAAGGGAACCCAAGAGTCTTAAACTCAGATCTGTGCTCCATCTGCCTGGAATGGTTTAGGTGAAGCCTTTTATTGAGACTGGCCCAGATGCACCTGGGGAGATGCTTTTGGCTCTAGGGGCTCAGATAAAATAATAGCCTCTCCTTTAAGATCTACCTCACCTGTGGACTTAGAAATCAGGTAGATCAAAACTCAGATTTACTCTGCTACTTTACTGACTTTGAACTACTTAAACTCTGTGCCTCAGTGCTTTTACTTGTAAAACAGAGATACTGACAGCTTATTTCACAGGATTTTTAAAGGAATGAAATAAGATGCTAAGAAAGGGGTTTAGCAACTGGTTATCATAGTGAATGATGTGGCAAATAATTGCATGTGATAGTGAATAGAGTCTGAGTTACACTTTAGATATATAGAACTATACACATAACATACATAAACACAAATTCTATTTCTAGAAAAACAATGAGAAAGCAGTAAAGCTTTAGCTACAACATATTTATTATAGTGTTTTTTGTTTTTGTTTTTTTTTTTTTTTTGCTAGTGAAAACTGGGACATCATCTCTTGGTCCAATAAAAGGCATAAAAAATGGTAGATATATACTATTTACTACAATATCATCATTAAAAATGCTGCAGATTGGTATTAGTTGAACTGAAAAGATCATTATCTAAATTGTCAAATGATAAATGTTATGTCAAGATTCACCCTTATTTTTGTTTTTAAAGCATATATCCTTGCATACTGTCAGGCTAATTTGCTAGATATTCAAAGTGGGTCTCTCTGGATGGTAAGAATATATATCATTTCCCCTTTTCCTTCTTTATTCTATCACACACTCTCCCTATCCTTCCTTCCTTTTCCCTCTTTTCTTATATTATCTTGATTACTTTCTATTATTTTTAACTCAATAAACAATGTAATAAATAAATTACTGAAAATCAGTGTTTCCCCTAACTTCCTCCCTCCTTAGTGTCCCGAGCAAACCTGCACATCATAATTGGGAATAGCTGTTCCCAAGTATCCTGGTTTGATTTTCATTGTCTTGGAAACTCTGCAAGTTAATCCCTGTGGAAAGAAGCAGACAAATCAGCAAACCTCAGGAGAAAGCACAAGGTCACAGAAAAAGAAAAAATTTCTGCAAAGCAGGTCCTGAACTTGGCCTACACCTGGTGGCTCCCTCCCTCCACATTCCCTGGTTCTCTCCCTATTACTGGAATCACAATCCTATGGGCTTTACTAAATTGTTTGTTCAGGAAGTAACCTAACTACCACTCTCCAGGAAGAGAACCTAACAATCACATTATATAATCTCTTTTAGGGGGAGCCACACTTTAACATGACAGTATGGATACCCATACCCACTATGGATATGACACTATGGGTAATTTTATTTTTAATTTTTGTGGGTACATAGGTGTATATATTTATGGGATATATGAGATGTTTTGATATGGGCATGCAATGTGAAATAATCACATCATGGAGAATAGGATATCTATTTCCTCAAGCAGTAAAATATGCTTTTAAAAGTACCTCCCATGGCAGTGCCAGTTCTGCTTGAGCCCTGAAATGAACCTCCCAACAGATATGTTGGTGTCCTTGCCAGCATATCCTAAACATGTCCTCCTCTAAATGGCTGGAGGCCCCTGCCAGGGGAGTTGCTTGCCACAACTCCATTGTCCTTATTCATATTTGCAGAGCTCTTCCTGACTCTTTCATAGCACAGAACTGCCATCAACCCTCTGCAGGAGTTTTTCCAAGAGTACTTATTAGCCAAAGAAGGATGCAGGGTAAGAGAATGTAGAGTAAGAGAAAAGAAGTGCTGAGAGTCACAAGTAAGAGGCACTGGAAAAAAGGAGAGAAGTAGTTGGGGAAAAGTGTTCTTTACTTTACTTTGCTTATCCCCAGTTTTGATAAGTAAAATAGCATAGGACAGCATAAATGCATATTGTGCATGTGAGACCTGGAGTTCCAAGAAGATATCTCAGGAGGTGCAGTAAAGCCTTGGTGGGCTCTTCTTCCCATTCTTCACTTCAATCTAAGCAGCTTTGTACAGTGCTTGACAGGTTTGATAAACTTCGGTGTCTGATAAAATGTTTCCCCATCACAGAGGACTTTTCTGACTACAATATCTGATTTACCAACTCCTCACCCCATCTCATCTACTTTACTTTTTCCATAGCATTTCTCACCACCTGCCATGCTAGATATTTCTTAGGTTATTGTCTTTTTTCCCAGATCCCACTGGAATGCAATCTCCCAGAAAACAGGACCTTTGCCTGTTTTGTCCTGTGCTGAATTTTTAACACCCAGTGCCTGTCCCATCATAGATGCTCAATAAATATTTCTCAAATAAACGAATGATAAATGGTGGCTAACATTTTTTATTGTCAAAGAGACTTTTGAAGCCCAAAAAGTGCACCCAGCCCAAGGTTCCCCTGGGAACAGGTACCGTTTCTGTCTGGCCATAGAATTCTCGGATGTCCAGTCCTGTCTGGGCCTTCCAGTTTCCCAGAATTTCTGGAAGAAGAGTTTCCCCTCCAGTTAAACAGTTCTGTAGGTGGGGGAACTTGTAACTGAAGAAGAGAAATAAGTGTTTCCCCTTAGCCTCCCTGGAACCAGAGTCCACCCAGGCCTAGAGCTGGATTCTGGGTGCTCCGATGATGCAAATGGCTTCATGGGGCTATCTGTGTGAGAGATTCAGACAGATAGGCATGCATGTATGTGAGGGAATCAGAGGGATGGGGTTAGACTCTCTTACCAACCCTCAAAATCCCATCACCTGGAAAGATCCTGCTGAAGCAACATCCGGTAAACAAGGGGGGCAGTCAGCATGGTTTTGACTGGGTAGCTGGACAGTGTCTGGAAGAAGAGAGCCAGGTGAGACACTGGTCACCGGGTCAGATGCCAACTTATGGCTAGGCACAGTGGTTATAATTGTAAACTATGGAGTTGTAGAGGTATGGATTAAAACCCTAGCTTGTTTGCTGTGTCTGTTTCAGGTTAAATGAGCCCCACAATTTTCATGCACCCTGAAGACACAAATAACAGGAAAATGAATACATATTATGGTATTGAAAAAGTCTAGAACTAATTTGAAACATTTTCGTCAAATCCTGGCTGGCTGTTCTTGCTGGTTTAAGACTTGCCCTCATTAACAGCCCCTAGGAGTATATCAGCCCCCAGCAACCAAGGGAAGATCAGCTGCTTGTGCATAGCAGCTGTCTTGGTTAAGTCCCTTAACCTTCTGTAACCAGCTTTATAATAGATTGTTTCCAGCCTTATTTCCCTGAAAATATTTTTGGGATATATTTTGGATATAAAAGTTCTTTGAAAAGTTAAAGGCATCTATAGACATTTCAAAACAACTGCTACAAAAAGACCTAGTACTGAATACTTGCCATGTCCTGTGTTATCTCATTTAATTTTTACAATAACCTCATGGAGTGTGTACAGTCGTTCTTATGATACAGTGGGGAAACCCATGATGTACAAGGTTAAATAACTGCTCCAAGGTCGCCTAGTCAGGAAGCAGTGGGATTCTTATTTGCAGCATGTATTCCTAACTGTCATATAATACCATCTCCATCCCATGCTTTTCTTTATGCAGAATTTTAGTATATAATAGACAATACTCTATTAAATATAATTTTCTCTTGCTATAACAGAAAACAGACTAAGACAATACTCTATTACATTCTGGGACTGAGTAATTTATCTGGGACTGAGTAATTTATAAAGAAAAGAAATTTATTTCTTGCAGTTCTGGGGGCTGGAAAGTCCAAGATCAACATCAAGAAGCTGCACCTGGTGAGAGCCTTCTTGCTGATGAGGACTCTGCAGAGTCCCAAAGAGGCTCAGTGCATCATATGGCAAAGGGACTCACAAGGTAGAGCAAAACTGGCTTTTTATATAATGTCCCATTCTCCAAAACTACCCCACTACCGTGATAACCCGTTAATCCATTAAACCCTCCTGAGGCCCAATCATCTCTTAAAGGCCCCACCTCTTAATACTGTGACATTGAGGATTGAGTTTGTTAATCAAAAGAGTCAAACTCTGTAAAATACTTGAAGAGATTTATTCTGAGACAAATAAGAGTGACCATGGCCTGGACACAGCCCTTAGGAAGTCCTGAGAACATGTGTCTGCAGTGGTCACGGTGCACCTTGGTTTTATATATTTTAGGGATATGTGAGACTTCAATCAAGGACATTTAAAAAATACATTGGTTTGGTCCAGAAAGGTGGGACAACTTGAAGTGGGGCTTCCGGCTTATAAGTAGATTTAAAATTAGCTAGACAGTATGCAAGGATATATGCTTTAAAAACAAAAATGGGGTGAATCTTGACATAACATTTTGTAACCTGCTTTTATCATTTGACAATTTAGGTAACAAATATTTTCAGTTCAATTAATACCAATCTGCAGCATGATTTTAAATGATGATATTATAGTAAATAGTATGTATCAACTGCTTTTTATGCTTACTGAACACTGTTCACCACATGGCAAGGGTTTAGCAAATTTAGATGAATTGAAACAAACTACAATAAATTGAAGTGTGCAAACCTTGGGCTCACTCCGAATAACTGATGCAAACTGGATCCTCTCTTACCTTTAGAATAACCAGTGGGTCAAACTTTGGCAAAAGACGAACAAATGTGCATGCTCCTGTTGCCCAAGATTCTAATGAGCATGCGATGTACACTATCCAACCTGTGTCTGCTATGGTCCAGGCTACATCAGAGGCTTGCAGGCCTGTCCAACTGAAAACAAAGGCAAAACACATGTACATATAGGTGGGTGAGTGCTGATCTTTGGATGTGTGGGACACTAAGGTGTAGGGGAGGCGAGGGAGGTCTGTGTGCAAAGGTGTGTGTGTATCTGCCTGCAGGTTTGTAAGTATATGTCTAACTATAAGTAGGAAGGGAGAAGGAAAGTTGTTCTATCCATACATCCTGCATCAACAGGAGATGAGTGTTCAGAAGGTGTGACCCCAGCTGTTATGACTTAACATATAATTGGATCTCATTCTCATTTTAACCCCAGAACTTAGTACAGTTTCTGGCATGCATGTGGTAACCACCTAGAAAATTTTTACTAACAAAAGGCATCTGCATAACTAATATTCTAACAGATGCCTTGCCAAGTTCAAGTTTGGCTGAATAGAACTTTGGTTCTCTTTTCTTCAAGTATTGTGAATTGCCCACAGAACTGAGGGTCTTACACTAAGTGAACTTGTCACTTTTTTCTCTTCAGGGCTGAATAAAAGGTTCAGGGCTTTCTTAAAGCAGGAGTGATTTAGGCTAGACATGAAGAACTTCCTTGTGACTGGGAACTGCCATAGTAGATCTTCTTTGCTGAAGATGGTTAGTATTTTCAGCTCTGTAGGGAAGTTAGAGAGCAAGACCAAATTTTTTGGGGGGAGGGGAATTTAATATCTTAGTTCCATATTAGTAATGTATCCCCCATCTCTTAGAAACTGTCTTTGACTGTAGCATTTCTATTGAATAATTTTTACTAATTTATTTAATTTGCTGTCACTATGGGCTCATAAATGGAACATTTACACTTTCTAATTTTTACATTAAAATATTTTCTCATTCTAATAATAAAATTAACATGGAAGGTGGGATCTACTAAAAAATCCTGAAGGTTTCTAGTTATCATTGCATGAAGACCTTGACAGAGTGTTTCCTGGTTCCACAAACAGGATTAATGTAGCAGTGAAAAAAAATGCTCAACTATGAGGTCTGTGATCCAGAAATCCTGAGATCTTGGTTCACAAATTCATTCAATTATATTACTCATTTCAATGAGTTTGCCAAGTAATTTGCTTTGGACAAAAAGTGCTCTTTGGAATGTGGGTAGTATCAAAGCAAATTGCCAGCATACCAAAGAACAACATAGAGATCAGTCTGGGGAAATGCATGTAAGCCTTTTTCTAATTATTCACCCTGCTAGGGACATGGCTCAAAACATGGAAGAAGTTTTGAGACCCTGTGTTATCTAAAAGATATGTCCCATTGAAGATGGCTGAATACCCAACAGATAAAGCCATGTCTTCTTTAGCTTTCCTTCCCAATTTTCTTTCTCAGAAGCCCAAGGTGGTAGCCCAGCCCAGGAGCATTGGATTTGAACTCAGAAAAGTCTTCATGCCTGGTCATGCAATTTTCTGTAGTGAGAAAGAGCTCAGCTTACCCAGCATCCAACTTGGCCTTGAGGCCCAGGCTCGAATGGGAATGTTCTGCCATCTTGGGAAGACCACTGGTCCCACTAGTGAAGTAGATGGCAGATGGTTCCTGGCTTCCAGTCACCACACAGCGATGAGTGGTGGATGCCTCCCTGACAGAGACACAGATTGTCATTTTGTCAGATCTAGCCTGGACACTGGATGTCACAGTGACCCATCTTTTCTCACCACCTGTTGTGCTGAAAAGGGCAAGTTGATCAACCCACCTCAGAAGAGAGGCTATAGAGTAGTTAAGATCATGGGAGTCTGAGTCAATCAGAGTTGGTCTGAAAACCACTAAAGTTTAGCACTTTGTTATCAATGCAACCTTAAACTAGTTATTTAACTTCTCTAAGTCTCACTTTATATCTGCAAAAAACAAGATCAAGTCTTATAGAGTTACTGAGAAAGTTAACTCCACCACCAAAGAAATGAGCAATTTGCTTAGCAAGAACTCAATAAATGCTAATCTAATTATTGTGAAGAACCCTGGCATGACACCAAGTACACAGGAAGTATGGAATTAATATGAGTTTTCCCAGTACTTTATTGGCACCCTCTTCTATTCCCTGGAAGCACCTACGCATCTCTTGGACATCTCCAGTGTCCTGATTTTAAGCCTTTAAGAGCAGGCATCTTGTTATTTATTTCTATGACAGCTACCTTAAAGACAATGGCATTAGAAATGAAAAGCTGAAGTTATCCCTTCAAGTTTCCTATTATATGTGTCCTTAATAGAAGGATTTCAGATAAGTCAAGAGAAAATAATTAGTACAACCAGTCTTGTTGTCAACTTCGGAAGGACACATGGAGAGACCTCTGCCCTTAATCAGCCTCGCTTAGAGATACAGAGGTGGGAAGAAGAGCCTAGAAACTTGGTATATCAGCCATCTCTTGGGCTTTCCCTCGTGACCTTGGCCTCACCATAGTTGCAGTAAATAGTTCTGGGTGGGTTACAACCCACTTGTTGTTAACACCATGTTGTTTCTAGTGTGCACCTCAAGCAATTCACTTTGTGCCCCATAGTTTCTCTTTTTTACCATAGCATGAAACTTTGAGTCACTCTTCATGCATGAGTGTGCAGCCCAGAAGTGTGGAGGCAATAACACTCCTAGGACAACCCTCAGCCTGTGGGAGTCAGATGCTGATGGGTCAGTGCTTGTCAGTCCCTTAGTGGACAATCCTGGGAGGCATTCTGTGTGCTGCTCAGAAGGCCCAGGCAGATCAAACCCCATTTAGTTCTTACAATTACTTGATTAAAAACCCTTGTATTAGCTTTTATTTCTTCCAGATTCATTTTTCCTAGTCCCATGCGCTGCTTCCTGTGCCTCCTCAATAAAGCACCTGCACCCAAGTGCTTGGCTCTGTTTCCAGTTTTATTAAAAACCCAGGCTGAGACATGTAGATACTCACTTTAGTAGTTTCTTGAAGTTCAGCCACCCATCCCAGCTTTTCTCAGACACCAGTAGCTTAATTCTCAGAGAAGGACACTTAGATGCCACTGTGTCCACTTCTTGGAACACTTCATCTCCAGCCACAATAGCCTTGGCCTTAGACATCTGCAACCTATACAGTATGTCGGTGGATTTCATCTGGATGGTCCCAGGCATAAAGACGAGGCCTAAAGAAGCCAACAGTTTAGAGAATTGGAAAGGATGGTTTTCCTTGTCCCTAGAGAAACCTGATATAAACATCCAGCAGGGAGCAAGTGGGGAAGGAGAAGATGGGAAAGTAATGACCAATGAAGAATGTCAATAACAAAGGGGACCAAGGATTAGGGAGTGAATGAAATCTACAATATTCCCTGGATTGTCAGAGTCTTAAGGGCCCTACTGAGACAAAGAAAAGAAACTGAGTTGCTAGTGTCACACTGTTGACAGTCTAAGACATATACATACCACTCTCCTCACCCACTCTCCTCAAAAAAAAATTTTTTTTTCTACAGGAGTTTGCTGTATTCAGAACTCTCGTGTGATAATTAAAGAATCATGAAGAAAGGCACTTAGAAATGTCCATGGTCTTGAGATACCAATAGCTCTAGGTCCTTGTTATTTCTCCAACCCTGGGACACTAAATGCATTTTCTTAGATGAGTGTGCCTTTAGTTTTACATGTATGTGTACATACAAAAAAGAGTTGTATATATTTAAGCCGGGCATGGTGGCTCAAGCCTGTAATCCCAGCACTTTGGGAGGCCGAGGCGGGTGGATCATGAGGTCAAAAGATCGAGACCATCCTGGTCAACTTGGTGAAACCCCGTCTCTACTAAAAATACAAAAAATTCGCTGGGCATGGTGGCATGTGCCTGTAATCCCAGCTACTCAGGAGGCTGAGGCAGGAGAATTGCCTGAACCCAGGAGGCGGAGGTTGCGGTGAGCCGAGATCGTGCCATTGAACTCCAGCCTGGGTAACAAGAGCGAAACTCCATCTCAAAAAAAAAAAAAAAAAAAAAAAAAAGAGTTGTATATATTTATTGGGTACAAAGTGGTGTTATAATTTTGAAGACAATGTGAGATGATTAAATTAAGCTAATTAATGTATCTATCACCTCAAATATTTAACATTTTTCTCGTGATGAGAATTAGAAATTTATGCTCAGTGAAATTTTCAGTACTCAATTTTTAGCTATATTTAGCATGCTATGCAATTTATCTTAAAAAATTAGACTTATTCTTTGCACATAACTGAGGTTTTTATACCCCACGATTATCACCTTCCTATTTCTTGTTCTTGTTTACTATCTTAATGAAATTCCTTTGATTTTAAAAATCTTCTGTAGAATAACTAGACTTAGGGCCAGGCATAGTGGCTTATTCCTGTAATCCTAGCACCTTGGAAGGCCAAGGAAGGTGGGTCATTTGAGGTCAAGAGTTTAAGACTAGCCCGGCCAATGTGGTGAAACCCCATCTCTACTAAAAATACAAAAATTTTCTGGGCATGGTGGTACACACCTATAATCCCAGCTACTCAGGAGGCTGAGGCAGAATTGCTTGAACCTGGGAGGTGAAGGTTGCAGTGAGCCAAAATTGCACCACTGCACTGCAGCCTGGAGTACAGAGGGAGACTCTGTCGAGAGAGAGAGAGAGAGAGAGAGAGAGAGAGAGAGAGAGAGAGAAGAAAGAGACAGAAAGAAAAGAAAGGAGGGAGGGAGGGAGGGAAGGAAGGAAGCAAGGAAAAGAGGGAGGGAGGGAGGAAGGAAGGAAGGAAGGAGGGAAGGCAGGGAGAAGAGAATATCTACACTTTCATTTTTTATGAAGCTTAAACCACATGCCCCACCTGTTAAATAGCTTTTAACCTTAGCTCACCTCCTTCTAACTCTTAACATTTTGGGATTCTCACTGCACACCTGCAAATATCTTCAAATGTCTCTCTACCATGATGGTCATATTGAGTCAGACACGGAACAATAAACACATTTCTTCCTCTGAGTTCTCTTTTCCTCCTGGATATAATCTCAGTATGACACCTTTCTGTCTGGCTTGTTCTCTCTTTCCATGAGCTTCCAGGTTCCTGCAATTGGTTTGGTTGCCTCTGGTAGTTTTGAATTCCTGGCTACGTTTATGTCTTCCTCCTTACCCAGGCTCACGCTTAGCCCATTGTCCCCAGAATATCTAGTGGGTGGGACTTTTAGTTGGGATTAGGCTGTGTGTAAGCAGAGGTAGGAAGGGCCAATTTTTGAAGGCGGTTGCTAGAGTTTCTTGAGGTTCTTTTTTATACCACTGTATTTCTCATCCTTTTAATGTTAAGGTTGATGATTCTCAAATTTCCATCTCCATCTCAGATTTTGGACCCTTAAATCCAACTTGTTGTCACTTCTTGAACATCACATGGACCTCTTGGACTCAACATGCCCAAATTGAACTTATCATCTCTTCCTAACACCTGTGCCTCTTCCTATGTCTGTGTTCTTCACGCCATTAAAAGACAGCACCATCCACCCACTTGCTGAAGTCTCTGTGACTTCTTTCTCTCCCTGGCATCTTCCTTGAAAAACCCTGTTACTAGTTCCCCCTAATTGTGTATTAAATTTACTTGTCTCCATTTCTACTACCAAAATCAAGTTGAAACCGTCATCATCCCTTCATCTCTTATCTGATAATTCAATTCCACTATTGCCTTCTTCATCCCATTCTCTATTGAGCATCCAATATGACTATCCAAACAGAGGATGATCATGTCACTCAATGCATCAATGGTTTGAGTGTCACTGAATCCATCAGTCATTTCCCATTTACCACTGGGTGTGTGTCTACAACTCTTACCATGGCCCACAAGGCACTGTCAATTTAGTACTTGGCCATCTTTACATGTTCATTCTATTGCCACTACTTTCTTTTTATGGCCTGGACTTTCGGCACACAGACATCCTTTTAGGTTCTTTCATAATTTTCAAGCTTCCCTCCCCTGTGGCTTTGAAACTGCCTTTACCAAAATTATGACACTGAGGAAAATCTGACATGGCCTACTTAATCTTGTTTCTCACTTCAAAAGTTATCTGTCTTTGCTCGTTCCTGGGCATAGTCCAAGCTAACTGTGGGAGGAATCCAGCCTATAGACTAACTTTAAAACAAAAATGATAATAGCTCTTTCCTGAAACTAACTGCCGCCATGCTTAGAGATTGAATCTGCCTTTGGAGAGATAACAAATTGGTCACAAGGCTAGGATTATAATTCAGGAGTCATGTAGTCAGAGGTCACAAGATTTGTAACCTCCCCAATTTCTCCTATAGATAACATCATTATGGTAAAACCTAAGACTAATGTTTAAGGTGTTTTTTAGACCTTGCACTCTGATGGACCAGTGTGTACTACCCAGACCAGTAACTGATACCAAGAAACTAACTCAGCTATTTCTGTGATCTCTGAGGAGTTGACTCAACACAAGAAGACAGCTCCAACACACAATTTCATCCCCAGCCAATCAGTCAGCATTTCCTATTCCCTATCCCACTGAATGCCAAAGCATCTTTGAAAAAGACTGGTCTCTGATTTCCTAGGGAGGTGGATTTGAAAAACATCTTTCATAATTCAACTTGGTGGTCTATGCAATTATTAGATTCTTCTCTACTGCAACTCCTACTGTTTTCAGTGTTTGGAGTTTCTGGGTAGTGGGCAAGAAGAAATCATCAGATGATTACATCTTCACATGTGCTGTTCCCTTTGCTTGGCACAACCCTCTCTATCTCTTGGCCAAATCCTACTCATCCTGCAGATCTCAGCTCAAATATCACTTCCATTGAGACTTTGTTACTCTTCATATTGGTTAGTTCAAGTATCCTTTTAGACAAGGCGTTGGCAAACTTTTTCTGCAAAAAGCCAAATAGTAAATATTTTAGGTTTTGTGGATTAGACACTCTCTTACTCCAACTACTCAAGTTGCCACTATAGTGCAAAAATGGCCACATATAATATGGAAACAGGTGGGCATAGTTGTGTTCCAGTAAAACTTTGTAAGAACAAGCTGTGGGCAGGATTTGGCCTGCAGGTCACAGTTTGCCAAACTTATTTTTATAGATTTTTATAGAATTCTCATGGCACCTATCATAATTGTGATTAAATACTTATTTGTGCAATTAATAGTTTAAGAGCTTTCTCCAGAGGTCTGTAAATCCCATGAACATATAGACTATGTTTTTGTTGTTGTTGCTGTTGTTGTTCACTCTGCGTAAGTGTTTGGCACATAGTTTGCTTAAATGAATGGAAGAAGGGAGATATCTTTCTTCATATGAGGGAGGACAGCATGCTCCAAGGAGGGAACTTCTTTTGGGAGAGGTGGCTGCATTTCTCTGCTATCAGTTTTCTTCACAAGGAAGACAGTTCTCTGTCCAGGTAGTTAGTTACCAACCTGCTCGAATGCAGCCCAGTATCACCAGCCCCCACTCAGGTACTTGGGGCAGCACCACTGCCACACGGTCCCCACGCTGCAGGCCACATGCTTCCGAGAGGACGTTGGCTGCCTGCTGGCTGATTTCACTCAGTTCTCTGAAGTTCCACATCACTTCCTCCCCATTCCCATTTACCCACCACAGGGCTGGGTCTGGGGGTCGCTTGCCAACCTGAGGAAAGAGAAGCCCTGCTGATTAGGTGGCACTGGTACACAAGCAGGTAGAATAAATTCCAAGTTTTGGGATTGCCAAGTCAGTGCTTAGTAAGCTTTTTTAATCTCAGCACCTCCATACAGTCTTTAAAAATATTGAAAACCCTAAAGAGTTGTTATTTATATAAGTGATATTTATCAATATTTACCATAGTTGATATTAAAACAGAAGTTTTATAAATGTATGCTTTAAGAAAATAACAGTAATAAAGCCATTATATATTAGCATGCATAATTTTTTATAATGATGAAGAAAGTATACTTTTCAAAATAAAAAAATGAGGAAAGTGGCATTATTTTATTTATTTATTGCATCTATTTATTCTGTAATTCACTTTAATGTCTTAGTAGAATAACATCAGATCCTCTTGTCTGCTTCTGCACTCACTCTGTTGTGAGTGCCAACACGTACCTTCTGGAAAATGCTATTGTGTACTTGTGAAAGAATGAGAATAAAAAGGCAAATACCACTTTAGATTTATTTATATATTTATCTCTGTCTAACTATTTACTTTTTTTTATTGTGTGGTAAAAATACACATAACATTTCCAATTTTAACTATTTTTAAGTGTATAGTTTAGTGACATTAAGCACATTCTCATTGTTATGTAACTATCACCAGCATCATCTCTAGAACTTTCTCATCATCCAAAACAAAAACACTGTCCCCATTATACAATCACCCCTCATCCTGTCTCTCCATAGGCCCTGATAAACACCATTCTACTTTCTGTCTCTATAAATTTGACTATTCTAGATACATGATATTGTTTGAATATTTGTTCTTTCCAAGTCTCATGTTGAAATGCAATCCCTAGTGTCAGAGGTGGGGCTTGGTGGGAGGTGATTGGATCATGGGGGCAGGTCCCTCATTAATGGCTTGGCACCATCCCCTTCGTGATAAATTGAGTTTACATAAGATCTAGTTGTTTAGAAGTTAGTGGCACCTTCTCACTCTCTTTCTTGCTCCTAATCTTGCCATTTGTTGCGCCTGTTCTTTCTTTGTCTTCCACCGTAATTGCAAACTTCTTGAGGCCCTCATCAGAAGCAGATGCCAGCCCCACACTTCCTGTACATTGTGCAGAACTGTGGGCCAATTAAACGTCTTTTCTTTATAAATTACCTAGTCTCAGGTATTCCTTAACAGCAACACAAGAACAGTCTGGTACAGAAAATTGGTACCAGGAATGGCATATTGCTATAAAGATACCTCAAAATGTAGAGGTAACTCTGGAACTTGGTCGTGAGAAAAAAATTGAAGAGTTTGGAGGGCTTAAAAGAAGACAGAAAGATGAGGAAAAGTTGGAACATCTTAGCTACTGATTAAATAGTTGTGAACAAAATGCTAATAGAAATATGGACAGTGAAATCCAGGCTGACCAAATTTCAGATGGAAATAAGGAACTTATTGGGAACTGAAACAAAGGTCCCCCTTCCTATACTTTAGCAATTAACTTGGCTGCATTGTTTTCATAGCCTAGGGATATATGGAAGTTTCAACTTAAGAGTAATGACTTAGGGAATCTGACAGACGAAATTTTTAAGCAACAAAGTATTCAATATTTGACCTGGACTGAGCGTGGTGGCTCATGCCTGCAGTGCCAGCACTTTGGGAGGCCAAGGCGGATAGATCACAAGGTCAGAAGATTGAGAGCATCCTCACCAACATGGTGAAATCCCATCTCTACTAAAATACAAAACACTAGCTGGGCATGGTGGCATGCACCTATAGTCTCAGCTGCTTGGGAGGCTGAGGCAGGGGATCTCTTGAACCAGAAGGGTAGAGGTTGCAGTGAGCCGAGATCACACCACTGCGCTCCAGCCTGGTGACAGAACAAGACTCTGTCAAAAAAAGAAAAAAGAAAAATAAAGATTTGACCTTGATGAATAGATAAATAATGGATGGATTAGGCATATATATAACAATGGGATATTATTTCAGCTTTTAAAAGGAAGGAAATTCTGACCTGTGTTACAACATGGATAAACCTTGAAAACATGCTAAGTGAAATAAGTCAGACACAAAAGAACAAATACTATATGATTTCATTTATATAAGGTACTGTATCAGGCTGTTTTTGCATTGCTATAAAGGAACATCTGACACTGGGTAATTTATAAAAAGAAAAGTTTAATGGGCTCACAGTTATGCAGGGTGTACAGGAAGCATGGTGCTGGCATCTGTTTCTGGTGATGGCCTCAGGAAGATTACAATCATAGAAGAAGGTGAAGGGGGAGCAGGTGCACCAAATAGCAAGAGCAGGAGTGTGAGAGAGAGCATGGGGAGTTCCACATATATTTAAACAACCAGATCTCTCATGAACTCACTTATAACCAAAGGAATGGTGCTAAGTCATTTGTGTGGGACCTCCCACTATGATCCAAACATCTTCAACCAGCCCCCACCTCCAACACTGTGGATTACATTTCAACATGAGATTTGAAGAAAACATGTATCCAAACTATATCACTTTGTTCCTGACCTCCCAATTCTGATGTCCTTCTCACATAGAAAAATAGAATAATCTCTCTTTAGCAGACTTTTAATCTATTTGTTGATAGATATTTGGGCTGTTTGATCTTCCAGCTTCTGTGAATTAAGCTACTGTAAAAATGAGCATGCACATATTTCTTGGAGATCTGATTTTAGTTTTTTTGGGTGTATACCCAGAGTTGGAATTGCTGAATGGTAATACTAATTTTTAATTTTTTGAGAAAATGTCATATTGTTTTCCATAATAGCTGTAACATTTTACATATCCATCGTGATGCACGAGGGTTCTAATTTCTCTGTTTTATTGTAAAATAGACTCTTCACATATCCCCTGAAAGAGACTCATGTATCCTCAGGGGTTCCCAGATCATAATTTGAGAGTAATGATGCAAAATAAAAGAGAAAACGTGTTGGCAATTTTATTAGATATTTCAAAATTTGCCTCCAATCAGAGTTATACCACTTTGTGGCAACACATGAAAGTGTCTGTTTCCTCACAGCCTTGCCAATAGAGTTGTTGAACTTTTGTATTTTGTCCTTGCTCATTCCTCCCAAGCTAACTATGGGAGGAATTTAGTTTATAATTTAAATTTAAGGCAAGGATGATAAATGTCCCTTCCTGAAACCAACTCCCTTCTTGTTCAGGGATCTAAACCTCTTTGTAAAATTAATGCAATTCCAAAGGATTAGGATTATGGTAGATGGTAGGGGCTTCAACTCTGCTAAGCTATAAGCATAGTTAAGCGATAACCATCCATTGTTCCCTAGCTTGCTTACTGCTTAGGACTCATGTACCAGAAGTCACACAATTTGTAAATTCACCAGTTGCTCCTATCGATAACATCACTATTGTAATATCTAAGACTGGCCTTTGAGATATTTTTTAGACATTTGCATTCTGGCAAACTTACTGACACTACCTAGGCCCATGACTCATAGCAAGGAACTCACCTTACTAGTCCTGTAACTGCCTCACCCAGAAACAGACTCAGCACTGGAAGACATTTCTCACACTTCTATGATTTCATTCCCAACCAATCAGTAGCACCAGTTTCTTAGACCCTGCCCACCAAATTGTCTTTTGAAAACCCTAGGCTCTGAGCTTTTGAGGGGGCAGATTTGAGAATTATCTCTCATTCTTCCACTATGATGCTTTGTGATAATTAAATTTGTTTTCTGAAGGAAAAAAACAACCTTTTGTATTTAACACGATGGGTACAAAAATGTTATTTTGGCAAAATCTTCACTTGCATTACTCTTCTTATGAGGGAGGGTGAGATTTTTTTATGTTTAACGGCCATTTGAGTTCACTTTTTTGGTGACCTGTCTGTTCATATACTTTGCCCACTTTTATATTGAGTTGCACCCTTTTATTCTTGGTTTCTATAAGCTCATTTTATATTTTTAACTTTTTGCTGTCATATAAGTTGAATATTTTCCCTACAGTTGTCATTAGTCATTGATTTTGCTAATGGTGTTATCTGTGAATGGAGAGGTCTTTTGATGTTTATACAGCAAGCTTACTTTTATGAATTCAGAATGCTGTTTCATAGTGTTGGGAACTCAGGACATCATGTCATAATCATGACTCTTTTTGAGTACCAATGTGTCAAGCCCATGGTGGTAGCACCACCGCTTCCTCTACTCCTAGCCAGAATGAATCCTTCAATCCTGCAGAAAGAGTCACAATAGGAAGGGGCTTCCTCAATATCTAAAAGGTCTTACTCAATATTTAAAGGAAGCATAACTTTTTCTAAAAAATTCACACATCTACATTTTTATTTGAAAATTTTCAATTTTAAAATGTTGACTTTTTTTTTTTTTTTTTTTTTAAGAGTACCTGAACCCAGGGCCGTCTTCAGCTTCGGGGCAAGGCATTTGCAATCTCTACACTAAGGCTGTTTCATAGTGTTGGGAACTCAGGACATCATGTCATAATCATGACTCTTTTTGAGTACCAGTGTGCCAAGCTCATGCTGGTAGCTCCACTGCTTCCCCTACCCTAGCCAGAATGAATCCTTCAATCCTACAGAAAGAGTCACAGGACTTCAAATGAAGGCAATTGATGGATCAGCTATGAATGGATTAAAATTTTAGCAGCTCAGGGCTGGAAAGGAAACTCAGAATTTTCATCATCTTTTTCTATGTTGGATGTCTCATTTTGGAGCTCTTTTGATAATCGTTGCCTAGTAACTATCTTGCTTGCACACCTCTAATGAGAGGGACATGTTACCTAACTTCCTGGCAAGACTCAGTCTTTGATCACTGCTGATTTGCAACCCCCCACCAACTTTTTTGAGACAGAATATCACTCTGTGGAGTATGGTGGTGTTATCATAGCTCACTGCAGCCTCAAACTCCTGGGCTTAAGCAGTCTTCCCACCTCAGCTTCCTGAGTAGCTAGGACTGCAGGTGTGGACCACCATACCTGGCTAACTTTTTTTAAAACATTTTTGGTAGAGACAGAGTCTTACTGTGTTGCCCAGGCTTGATTTGCTGTTATTAGATTCAAACACACCACTTCTATGACCCCGGAACACTAGTTTTCATTTCACCCTGGAAGGTCACAACAGAGCATATGCGGTCTCCATACAATGTAAACAAACTGTGTATTGGCTGCTTGGAAGTTACCAGGTTGCCACACTTCTGTGCCTTTCTTCCTTCCAAGCTTATGGTATCTCTCTCCCATATCATGCTGTCTTCATGGAAGATGAATGTCTTGTCCATAACTTATTACAGTGCCTGACATGTGATAAGTGCTTAACAAATATTTACTAAATTAATGGATGAATTTTAAAAGTCAACCACATCGTCTCACTCTGTGCCTCTTTTCCTCCCCATTTACCTTCTCCATCTCAGCCCAGTGATCTATCACATCTCTCGCAAAGTTAAACGTGGGTTGAACTTCCAGGTGGCCCCACTGCACAGACACCAGTTGCCTATTATTAATATGGAGAGCATGGCTGGGCATCTGAGTACCCCAGAGGGCGCGAAGTCCCTGAAGTTTTCGCAGCCAATACATGTTCAGACCTGTAAAATGAAGAGACACAGGTGAGAGCTTCTTTAACAGATTGCTCTACTGATCATCAGCAGCTTCAGGAGATTCATCCAAACCTTATAGAATTCTTCCCAGGAATTAATTTGCTGTGATTATGAGTAAATTGGCACTCAGCATCTGTTTCAGTGTCCTTGTGGGGTGCTGTTTTCTATAGGCACAAGAGGATACAGAAAAAGTCCCAGATCCTACATCTTCAACACCTCTGACAGTTTTATGAACACCCAATTCCATATAATAAATCCCCTTGTGCTTAAAATACAGTGGGTCATATATTGGATTGTAGTTCCCAGAAATTCACTCCATTCCTGTTCTGGGATTATACATCCCCATTCATTTTTATGTGACTTCCCAGGAGGAAGAATATGTATCTACTTCTCGCTGATTTTGGCTTGCTCATGGGATATGCTTCAGTCAATGAAATGTGAGTGTCTGGGACTGTATGATTCATCAGAAACTCAGATTTCTCCCCTCTGCATGAGATTTGCACAACCCATATCAGTGCTGTACCATCAGAATGGGACCCAGAACAACCAAAAATGTGGAGTTGAGCTGAGCCTAGCAGTACCACTGACAACACACAGACCCATAGGAATATATGTATGACTAAAAACTACTGAGATGTGTAGGGTGTTTGTTACTGTAGCAAATGCTAATTAATTCAAGTAGCATCATTTTCTTTAAATTCAATCTGGACTGATAACATCCTAAATCCTAGGTCTTATGCGTCTAGTGCACAGGGCCTAATACAATCACTTTAGAAATTATAGGTGTTGTAATTATTGTTTCTATATAATTTATTCCAAGGAGGTAGTTCCAAGGCTATGCAGGCTGGTCTTTGAGTTATACCCAAGGTACCATGAAGAGGTTGTAGAATTTAAGTCTAATGACTTTTTTTTTTTTTTTAAAGAAAATTTATTTCCATAGGCTTTTGGAAAACAGGTAGTATTTGGTTACACGAGGAAGTTTTTTACTGGTAATTTAAAAGAGTTTTGTGCACCAATCACCCGAGCAGTATACACTTAACCCATTTTGTAACCTTTTATCCCTCACTTGCTTCCCATCTTTTCCCTCAAATCCCCAAAGTTCTGTGTATCATTCTACTTTTCTTTTTCTTTTTTTTTTTTAATTCTTCCTAACAAATTCTATCATACACCTTTGTATCATTCTTATGCCTTTGAAATTTATATCTTAGCTCCCAGTTATGGGTGAGAACATATGATGTTTGGTTTTCCATTCCTGAGTTACTTTACTTTGCATAATAGTCTCCCATCCCATCCAGGCTGCTGTGAATGCCATTAAGTCATTCCTTTCTATGACTGAGTAGTATTCATATGTATGTATGTGTGTGTACACACACACACACACCACAGATTGACAGGCATTTGGGCTGGTTCTATATTTTTGCAATTGCAAATTGTGCTGCTATAAACATGTATGTGTCATGACTTCTTTCATATAATGACTTCTTTTCCTCTGGGTAGATACTCAGTAGTGGGATTGCTGGACAGTTCTACTTTCAGTTCTTTGAGGAATCTCCACACTGCTTTCCAGAGTGGTTGTACCAGTTTACATTCTCACCAGCAGTATAGAAGTGTTCCCTTTTCATCACATCCACAGCAGCATCTGTTATTTTTTAATTTTTTTATTATGGCCATTCTTGCAAGAGTACGATGGTATCACAATGTGGTTTTGATTTGCATTTCCCTGATAGTTAGTGATGTTGAGCATTTTTTCATATTTGTGTTGGATATTCTTTTGAGAATTGTCTATTTATGTCCTTAGCCCACTTTTTTAATGGGATTTTTTGTTGTTTTTTTCTTGCTAATTTGTTTGAGTTTCTTGTAGATTCTGAATACTAGTCCTTTGTCAGATGCACAGATTGTGAAGATTTTCTCTCACTCTGTGAGTTGGCTGTTTACTCTGCTGACTGTTCCTTTTGCTCTGCAGAAGCTCTTTAGTTTAATTAAGTCTCACTATTTATCTTTGTTTTTGTTGCATTTGCTTTTGGGTTCTTGGTAATAAAATCTTTGCATACGCCTGTAGTCCTAGCACTTTGGGAGGCCAAGGTGGGTAGATCACGAGGTCAAGAGTTTGAGACCATCCTGGTCAACATGGTGAAACCTCATCTCTACTAAAAACATAAAAAATTAGCTGGGCATGGTGGCGCATGCCTGTAATCCCAGCTATTCAGGAGGCTGAGGCAGGAGAATTGCCTGAACCCAGGAGGCGGAGGTTGCAGTGAGCCAAGATCGTGCCATTGCACTCCAGCCTGGGTAACAAGAGCGAAACTCCGTCTCAAAAAAAAATATTTGCATAACCCAATGTTTAGAAGAGTTTTTCTGATGTTATCTTCCAGAATTTTTATAGTTTCAGGTCTTAGATTTAAGTGCTTGATCCATCTTGACTTGGTTTTTGTATAAGTGAGAGATGAAGATACAGTTTCATTCTCCTGCATGTGACTTGCCAATTATCTCAGCACCATTAGTTGAATAGGGTGTCCTTTCCTCACTTTATGTTTCTGTTTGCTTTGTCGAAGATCAGTTGACTATAAGTATTTGAATTTATTCCTGGGTTCTCTATTCCGTTCCATGGTTCTATGTGTCTATTTTTATACCAGTACCATGCTCTTCTGGTGACTATGGCCTTATAGTATATTTTTGAAATCAGGTAATGTGATGTCTCCAGATTTGTTCTTTTTGCATAGTCTTACTTTGGCTATGAGGACTCTTTTTGTTCCATATGAATTTTAGGATTATTTTTTCTAGTTCTGTGAAGACTAATGGTGGTATTTTGATGGGAATTGTATTGAATTTGTAGATTGCTTTGGGTGATATGATCATTTTTACAATATTTATTCTATTCATCCATGAGCATAGGACATGTTTCCATTTGTTTGTGCCATCTATGATTTCTTTCAGCAGTGTTTTGTAGTTTTCCTTGCAGAGATTTTTTTACCTCCTTAGGAATTTTTTTTTTGCAGCTATTGTAAAAGGGGTTGAGTTCTTGATTTGACTCTCAGCTTGGTTGCTGTTGGCATATAGCAGAGCTACTGTTTTTAGTACATTAATTTTGTATCCTGAAACTTTGTGGGATTAATGTATCAGTTCTAAGAGCTCTTTGGAGGAATCTTTAAGGTTTTCTAGGTATACAGTTATATTATCAGCAAACAGCAACAGTTTGATTTCCTCTTTCCCAATTTGGATGCCCTTTATTTCTTTCTCTTGTCTGATTGCTCTGGTTAGGGCTTCCAGTACTATACCGGATAAAAGTGATGTGAGTGGGTGTTCATGTCTTGTTCTAGTTCTCAGAGGGAATGCTTTCAACTTTTTCCCATTCAGTATTATGTTGCCTGTGGGTTTGTCATAGTTGGTTTTTATTACCTTAAGATATATCCTTTGTATGCTGATTTTGCTAAGGGTTTTAATCATAAAGGGATGTTGGATTTTGTCAAATGCTTTTTCTACATCTATTGAGATGATCATGTGATTTTTGTTTTTAATTCTGTTTATGTGGTGTATCACACTTATTGGCTTGCATATGTTAAACTATCCCTGTATCCCTGGTATGAAACCCACTTGATCATGGTGGATTATCTTTTTGATATGCTGTTGGATTTGGTTAGCTAGTATTTTGTTAAGAATTTTTGCATCTATGTTCATCAGGATATTGGTCTATAGTTTTTCTTTTTTGTTACATCCTTTTCTGGTTTTGATATTGGGTAATATTGGCTTCATAGAATGATTTAGCGATGATTCTTTCTCTCTTGTGGAATAATGTCAGTAGGATTGGTACCAGTTCTTCTTTAAATGCCTGGTAGAATTCAGCTGTAATTCCCTCTGGTCCTGGATTTTGTTGTTGGTAATTTTTTTATTGACATTTCAGTCTCACTGCTTGTTATTGGTCTGTTCAGGGTTTCTAATTCTTCCAAATTTAAGCTAGGAGAGTTGTATCTTTCCAAGAATTTATCCATCTCCTCTAGGTTTTTTAGTTCATCTTCAGAAGGCTGTTTGTAGTAACCTTGAATGATCTTTTGTATTTCTGTGGTGTCAATTGTAGTATCTCCCATTTCCTTTCTAATTGAGCTTATATGGATCCTCTGTGTTCTTTTTTTGGTTAATTTTCCTAATGATCTATCCATTTTTTTAAATCTTTCCCAAGAACCAGCATTTTGTTTCATTTATCTTTTGTATTTTTGTGTCAATTTCATTTCGTTCTGCTCTGTTCTTGATTATTTCCTTTCTTCTGCTGGGTTTAGGTTTGATTTGTTCTTGTTTCTCTAGTTGCCTGAGGTGTGACCTTAGGTTGTCTATTTGTGCTCTTTCAGACTTTTTGATGAAGGCATTTAAGGCTATGAATTTTCCTCTTAGTACCACCTCTGCTGTATCCCAGAAGTTTTGATAGATTGTGTCACTATTATACTTCAGTTCAATCATATTTTTTGAGATGGAATTTTGCTCTTGTTGCCCAGGCTGGAGTGCAATGGCATGATCTCGGCTCACTGCAACCTCTGCTTCTGGGGTTCAAGTGATTCTCCTGCCTTAGCGTCCCAAGTAGCTGGGATTACAGGCACTTGCCACCACACCCAACTAATGTTTTGTATTTTTAGTAGGGGTTTCTCCATGTTGGCCAGGCTGGTCTTGAACTCCTGACCTCAGATCATCTGCCTACCTTGGCCTCCCAATGGGCTCGGATTACAGGTGTGAGCCACTGTGCCTGGCTCAAGAAAATTTTTAATTGCCATCTTGATTTTTTTTTTTTTTTTTTGAGACAGAGTTTCGCTCTTGTTACCCAGGCTGGAGTGCAATGGCGTGATCTTGGCTCACTGCAACCTCCGCCTACTGGGTTCAGGCAATTCTTCTGCCTCAACCTCCTGAGTAGCTGGGATTACAGGCACGCGCCACCATGCCCAGCTAATTTTTTTTTTGTATTTTTAGTAGAGACGGGGTTTCACCATGTTGACCAGGATGGTCTC